GGTCTCTTGTCGTTTTTCAATCGGAGCCATATTTGTGTTAAAAAAAAAACGTAGTAGGTACTTATTTAAAATAACGAAATCGTGANAAAATCGTATTTTTTTCCCGGTTAATCGTTTTTATTTTAAATACCGTTTCGAAAATTAAAAAAATGATCCATTTATTTACCAAGTAGATAAAATTCACTTTCAGAAAAGGTGCTACACTTATACATCGGAGCAAGTTTTTAGGATAAATGTGATCTACAGTATAAAAAAAAAAATAAAGTATCACAGTAAAAAAATTAAAAAAAGGAAAAAAATCATCTGATGTAAGTCCAATGTAAGTATTATTACCAAGCTTAAAGTATCTACGTGTTTTTATANTTTTTTCCCAGTTAATCGTTTTTATTTTAAATACCGTTTCGAAAATCAAAAAAATGATCCATTTATTTACCAAGTAGATAAAATTCACTTTCAGAAAAGGTGCTACACTTATACATCGGAGCAAGTTTTTAGGATAAATGTGGTCTACAGTATAAAAAAAAAAATAGAGTATCACAGTAAAAAAATTAAAAAAAGGAAAAAAATCATCTGATGTAAGTCCAATATAAGTATTATTACCAAGCTTAAAGTCTCTACGTGTTTTTATAACTGAATTACAGTAAAAAAACTCCCAAAAATTAAAATTCCTTAAAAGCTCAAAAGTTTTGGAAATGATATCGTAAAAAAGTAAGTCAAAAGGGGTGACAGTAAATTTTTTGTTATGATTTTTCGATCAAATCATTTTTTCTGGTAGAAACCGTCGTTCGTGTTTTTATAAAATAATGAAATCGTGAAATTGTACGTTTTCCTGCGTTTTTTTTCCACTCCACTCACATCAAAAAAATGGCCTGTTTAAAGTACAATCAAGACAACTTGAGCTTTCAGAAAAGTTGCTTCACGTAAAATTCGGAGCATTTTACTAGGAAAAAACGTGTGCAGTCTAGAACAAAAAAAGAACAAAGAAATAAACAGCATTGTAAAACCAATAGCTACCTCACTACGCTCGGAATCTAAAACGAAATTAAAAATATTGAAAGAATTATTTTTATAAATTTTCTCGTTGTTTCTACGGTTTTTTTTTTTTATTTTTACTCTATTATTAAAGTACTGTAAAGAATATCAAAAAACAGCTTTCTAATCGTCAACTAGATTAAAAATGCATCGAAAAAGGTCTTTAGCAGTTTTTTTAATGGAACAATATTTATGTAAAAATTTAAAATAATGCAATCGTACGCCGTTAATTTGTTTATTTCTTAATTTTCGTCTTTTTTCGGTTTTCCCAATTATATCTATTGCAATATATATATCGAAAAGTGATTTAGTTTTTCAGTGGATGGATATTAAATGGAAAAAAACGATATTTTTTTCATTTTTAGAGCGATATTTCTGATAGAAAACTGATTGCAAAAATTAAAATCAACGAAATCGATAACACAACAACGTATTAAATTTTTACAGTTTTATCAATAATTTTCTTCTGGGTCTCTCCAATTATTTAGAAAACAGCGTGAAAAATCTAAATGACCTTCCTATACGGCTTTACACCAACTAGATAAAATTTCCTTTCAGTAAAGGTTCTACATTTGATAATCGGATCAAGATTTCTGGTAGAAAAGTTGTTCACAGACAGAAAAACAAAAATACAAAAACACTCATCGTAGTAAAACCAAAAGATCTCTCGCAACGCTTTAAATCTAAAAAAAGACTGGCATATTTCGCATGTGGATAGGCCATTGTTGTAGGTGAGAGGTTAGAAAAATAGTACAGGGGAAATGTAATGTATACAGATGTAGTAGGTACGCAACGATCAACCATTGCTAACAAAAAACGATTCTGAGCGAAATTCGATCGAAACACATTTTTAAATACTGTGATTTTTTTTTAATTTTTGGTAAAATTTGAAATTAAAACGCATATAAAAAAAACTACTGCATTACGTTAAACTTTATTTTACTACCGCTAAGTACAACTTATGATGATCATTTTTTCTGGCCCATTATTGTCCAAAACAATATTGTATTCACATAAAATCAAATAAAAACCGAACAACTCGAAAATATCGAATGCCTGTAAATAGCTCAAAAATGTCGTTGGCGAATTCTCGTTACACCGCAGCAATATAAATAAATTACAAAAAAAAAAATTATTTATCGTATATTCGCTATCGACTCGTAGGAACTAGCAAGAAAACAATGAATAATTTTCGAATTTTTAAGAGGGTGGTAAACCGGACGAGGATCTCGGTCTATGGGCTGAGCATACCGCGGTGCTGAGTGAGTATAAAACAAACGATATAATCCGGCCGAGAAACTCGTGTCTACAATAATTTAGTACGTTACACGACATACCCGGGTGTTTAATTTCCGGTCGGGTCCTTATTTTTGTCGCGTCCATCGCAAATCTTTTAGTAGGTATATTTGGCCACCCACAAATTTATGGCGTTACGATTTCATTATTTTAAATTTGTACGCTCTGTGTTTTATACCAGAAATATTGATCCAATAGGAAAAACGACAAAATACGTTTTTTGTTGAATTTTTAATCTAGTCAGCGACCAGAAGTTGTCTTTAAATTTCCCATGTAATTTATACAGTAATTTAACAAAAATAAAAACAAAGAAATATCTGGACGATTTATGAAACTGATTCTTTTATTATTTTCATTTTTTTTTTTTTTTTTTGTAATAATTCAGTTAAAACTATTCGTAGACTTGAAATTTTGACAGAAAATTTATTTTTTCTGTTTATAGATACGTAGTAAAATCTTAAAAATAATTGAACCATTTTTGAGTTATTAATAAACATTTTAATTTTGCGAGTTTTTTACGTAATTTTTATTTAGTCGGTATTCGATGGATAAAATTCCTAAACTCATTGAGTATAATAGTTTTTCGTTTTTATCGCTAGCAATGGTTTATCGTTGATTAAAAATATGAATTAGACAACTGTATGAATCATATAACTTCCTGACTTTCCACCTACATCATAGGTGTCGGTGTACCACTATAACGGCTGTTATTTTTCGTATTATTTACAAGACTAAATTCGGCACGTACATTTTGGTCTTGGGATACGATTTTTAACAGGTCCGGTTCGGTTCAGCTTGATTCAGTTCATTCAGAGGGATGTTTACTTTTTGGAGTTTTCACTAAAACAGCGTGGTCAAGAAATGTTATTTAATACTACTTTACCTTTAACAGTGAATATTACATTGTAAAATGTTGTTACCACGTTTCCGTTTTAAATTTTAATTCGCTCGATTGCGAATTTAGAAATTTTTTTTCTAAGCGTTTTTACGAGCAGTCATATTTGAAGTGTAAGTATCTAACACACAAGGTGTCGCTAACCATAATGTGATTTATTATCAAAACGTATATAAAATATTTTATATACAGGCACACGTGCGTATGAAATAAAATTACTTTTATCGTTAGTGCTCCGCGCAGACATATCGGTGTAATAAATTATACCTATACAGATACAACAGTAATCTTCTAAGTAACAGGTAAAATGCATACGCCGGATAAGTTTTGTCATTTAAACATACATTTTTAAAGGACTTTTAGATAATAATATAGGTATTAGTTTACATAAGCAAAAAATTAAATTAAATTAAATGTTTTATTTTATCTAGTGAAAAACAATAAAATGTAAAGCATTAAAACCCTAGATAAAATATGATTCTATGAAACCTATGATCAATTGTATATAATAGCAAACCGATTGCCATTTTATTAAAATTTTAGTGATTTCAATGTAAATCATTCGATTGAATTATTATATTAGGTAGGTACAGTGGCGTGGTGAATTCAACTTTGTTGAGCAAATATTTTGGTGGGCCGACCACCCAATCACAAAACCTAAAAGAAATTGCACTATGAATATTTTTAAAGACCATAGGTGCGAATAAGGTGGAATTTGAGTATTATCCCCTTTTCGAATCCATTCATGAATAAACCCCCCTTACCTCCCAAAAATTGTAATATGTTTACCTCCCACTGCCTCAGTGAAAAATAATTGTCTTTCATAGTCGCGCCATAAATGATTTTGTCTTTGGCCCCTTCAAACCTATGTGATTTAAACAGTAAACACTGAACAGTGATAGTGAACATTATAATATTATTTATTATTATTGTTGTTATTACTTAACATTAATCAACAATATAATTTACAATTCCTATTTTTTTTAATAGCCTAATCAATTATTGTATTAGTCATACTTAGTCTTTATGTTTAAACTTATATAGGTGCAGGGTGTCCTACGAGGATTCGACAAATGCAATAACTTTTGTTCTATTCAATATTTTGTATGTATATTTTTTTTTAAATAATTAGTATTCCTCAGCGCTACAGTTTATAAATGAACATTTTTTTTTTTTAGAGAGGGGGACTTAACATAAAAGGACGTTCTAGGATAATGGAGACGGATGCAACCACTGTTTTTTAGGTAATTTAATGTATACCTGTATAGTTATATTTCGTGTATATATATGTATTATTGTTATATTACTTCACATTTCATTTTATAGTTAAAATTTAACTAAAAGTTATGGTTAAAAATGTATTAGGTACCTACATTAAATTATCTTTGTTTTTTTATTCAAATAGGTTAGGTTTGGTAGATACAATTCATTAATTGTTGCAGTTTACATTATTTAACTTAAGTGTATAATACTGTAATTTACACCCAATTTGTGTTTATCAATATTTTTTTTCCTTTTTAAACATATAATCTGTAAACTAATTTTACAATTAAAATTAAAACAATTTTCTTTTATTTCTTTTTAATACATTCCTATTGTTGTAATACACACATTAGATTTGTACAATCAGTCACAGTGATCACGTTGCACAATTTTTGTTTATTTTCAATCTTTCCTAAAATAATTATAGAAGACATATCAAATGTTTCTAAAGGTTTTTTAGAAAATAATAATAAATGTAATACATTATTACATATAAACTCAACTTGAACAGCAGAAATTATTACAGACAAATAACAAATATTTGATAGGGTATACACTGTTTATAATCATTTACAAGCAGATTTGCAATGATTTACACCAGCTTTTTTTTTTTAAGAAAGCCATACAAATATTCAATTAATAATATGTTCATAATCATTTACACCAATTGAAAGTATACATTTCACAGATTTCAAATTGAATTCATTAATTTTGGTCATGTTTTGATCACCATACTATGATAAATGATTTCTTAATCATTGATGTTCCACTGCAATACAAAAGTAATATTTTATTATCAATACCTGATGACTTTAAAGATACATTGGGTCATTATCAACATTATAACTAATAACGCCACATTACTAATTCAATTATGATAAAAAAATATAATTATTGTACAGTGTACACGTAACATCCATTTTGATTAAAATTCACATGTATGAAATAATTGTAAAAATTTTTTTTTTGATTATAATATTGTTGTCATACAATATCAAATAATATATAACCGCACTTAAAACTTATGATATAACATTATTTAACTTCAATCAAAATTCTCATTAGTTCCTAAAAATTATAAAAACAGCATTTTAAAAAAAATTTAATTAACTATAAAGGCACTTAGAAAATAACAAAAAAAAAATGTAATAATCAATAAAACGCAATAATAGGCAAACAAATGGAATGTTCTCTCAATAAATTTAAAAAAAAAAAACACAAAACAGAAACAACTTTCAAATCACAAAAAAAAGTGGTACGCGTTTTAGTTTTTACCGATACTTTTTATGTTTTGATAGTCAACAAAAATGAAGAAAAACTAATGATTTTGCATGTTAGATTGTCGTGATATTAAATTATAATGTTTTCAATAGCGGAATGGTGTCCACGTGCCAGAATGTTCATCTCGTCTGTAATATAATGGTCGATTGTCCCTGAACACTGTAACAGCTGGAAATGGATGATCTTGTACATACTTCAAAGAAGCTCGTATCTGAAATTTAAAATGCAAGGATGAAAAATAATTCATTTTAGAATATTTAGAATAATTAAAAGGGTTTTACATTATTATTGTTTCTGCTTCTCTTATTAACGAACTGTTTATTATATAATTTATTACAATAATTGTTCAAAAATTGTATTTTTAAAATAAAATAATGAAAATTTATTATGTATTATCAATTTTTTACTTTTAAATTAAAATGGTCTCATGATTACGTGTATTGCATATATGTATTAGATAATTGGTATTCGGTATTTTACGCTTCTACACAAAAATTGTTTAAAAACGGGATAATACCAATAATTAAATTCATAGTTTTTCAAGTTTAAAAAAAAACTAACTATTTATAATGTTGAAAATGATATTTTATTAGATTTTTGTTTTAGACTAAAAAAAAAGCCATACAAGGATGGTTAGAGAATATGCGAGATTTCAAAATATTTATTTTTATATGGGTTAAAAATAGAAGTCATTAGGCATCCTTAATTTTTTCTGTAAAAAGTATATTTATTTTATGTAAATATTTTATCAAAATAGATACTGCAAAAATCGGAGAAAAAACCAACATAGTTGGGCTATTGTTATTGGTAGAAAGTGGATGAGAATGTACGATATTGGATAATTCAATTTATGTACATACTCTACAATAAATCATTGCAAACAAAAGACTATTCAAATAAATATTAATTGGACAATTTTTGTAAGAACCATGTCATGTTAAACAAGTTAAAAATTTAATTTTTTTTTAAAAATAATCTAATTGTTTCATTATTATTAATTTTAATTCAATTGAATATGAAAATTAATCTTTTGTAATATTTTTTTAAAAAGTTATTTTAGGAAAGATTCTTTTTAATTGAATTAGAACAAAAAAAAATCAAATCAAAAATAATATAAACTATTATTGTATATTTTTTTTTCTGATGTTTTGTTTCCATTATCAAGACAATTACAAGAAAAACCAATATAAGTGACCTCTCTTTTGCACCTAAAGTTGATGAATGATGCAAAAATTCTGTTAAAGAAATTGTTAATAGGTAAACATAAAAAAAACACATGATAGTAAAACCAATACATTTGTCATCCTTGCTACAATTAGAATTTAAAAACTATCTTCTTTTTGTTCTTGTGAGTTACAGGTCAATAAGACAAGCCGTTACACACCCAATCCTTGAGTTCTCCCAGTTGGCTGTTCTTGCTTTCTAATCTGAATCTTCTAGTTATCTAGGAATTCTAGACATATTTTTACCACTTCCTATCTTAAAACTCTAAAAACTATCATATATTATATTATATTAATGATGTACGCTTTTTTCAATTTTTATAATAAGTTTTTTTTTTAACAATTTTAGCCTAAACGCCACTGTAGTAGAAACACAATTAATAAATCAAAGTCATTTCAATATCTTTTGAACACCAAAGAGACAAAAATAATAAATTTCAATGCCAATTATTTTTCATGGATCTGATATATTTTTTAGTCCTTACAGCTATGACAGTGTGTGGTGGTTCTACGTCAGGCGTGGTAGACAATGCTTGCAGAATGAATTCGTCAGATTGTTGAAGCCATAGATCAACACTACGCATGGGTTCATAGTTAAACGGCCCAATCCTCAGCAAACCCAAATTACAATCATACACGTCCAAGACCTGTAGAAAAAAAAAAATAAACAGTATAATATTTTAAAGTAAATTTAATATTACACATCATTGTATTATACGTACAGGTTGCAAGCCTGTGAATAGTCTGGCAAGTCTTAATGGTTGTTCAGGTCCTTTGTCAGGAAAGTTGGCGGGGAACACTTCACCACTTTTTACCATAACTCCTAATGATGGATAGTGAAATACTTTATTAGTTGTTGAAAAAAAATGTCTAGACTAGTGTAACTAATTTATTCGAGTAATGAGACAAATTTATTCAACTAAAGAGTTAATTGAAACAAATTTATTCTCAATGGATTCCAAATGCTAATGGACACCGGATTTTTAATTAGTTTGGTCAGCGCACCAATGCAATATACTAGGAAAAATTAAAGAGTATGGATTGAGATGATTTATTTATATTAAGAAAAAGAGAAATTTCAAGATAGTGGTGGTAATAGTTATAGGGATAAAATGGAAATTAATGGGCATTAATGATGATGTGAATAGTAAGAATACGAGTAGCTGACCCCATTCACTAGGGATAAGCAGAAGAATAAGATTCAACGACACAATTGGATAACTTGACTACTTAATATTACAGTTTTTAAGCAGCTTAAGAAGAAAATATTGAAAACAGAATATTATATAGGTAAACGTTAAAATCAGTAATACCGGCTCCATAAAGCAATGGCCAGTGGACGTTATTCCGCATAATTGTATTGAGTTCTCCGACGCACGCCAACACCAATTCGATTTCAGTTTGATGTTTGTGAACCGCAACTGTGTAAACAACAACACACAGTATTTATTTTATTTGGTTTAAATATAGCACCAAGTTTGGTTTTAGGTCAGTTAATTTACCCATCAGGCTATAAAACACTTGTTCGCTGTAGCGCAGCACGTGCGTGAATCCGCCTATCAGAGACATTTCCAGGCGGCCATCTGGAAAGCCCATGGACAGCTCTTGGATCCTGTGCACCATGTTGATCACGCAATCTTCGGTACACGAACCGTCCAGATGAGCGAACCCAACGGCTCCGGAACCTATATATGTATAATATAATTATACTAAATATATTACAAAATGACGCCAGAACACGAGAATAGTAAATAAAATACATGAGAACTTACCCGTATGCCGGAGTATGAGAATGATACAGGTGGTAACGTCGTCGGATCCAATGATGGACACGTTTTCTGTGGATAAATGAAAACACAGTCATTGAACGACAATACGTGAAAACAAACAATTATTAAACGTAATATGTATTTAACATTTTTTCGAGCTTCTCCTTGAAAATGTTTTCTTGTTGCATCATCAAATATAATTTTAATGAAAAATTGTCCACGAAGACTTAATAAATGAAATAACTTTTATTCTAATCAATATTTATTTTAGATTTTGAGTGGACCGAAGAACTTTATGGCTTTACAAAGAAGTTTATTTCTTTTTTTTTATGTGAACACTGTTTTTACAGGAAAGCTTACTTCGATTTATACGATGTAGATCCTATTCTGAAAGAAAATTTTCTCGTGGTGGTACTTTAGAGAGGTCATTTTTCGATTTTCACAAGAGTTTTCCCAGCAAGTGTAAAAAATCGGGAAAAAACATAGGAAATCCAGGAAAAACGAGAAAATTGGTACAATATATATTAAACGAATATTATTAAAAAAAATATATAATACCTATTTAATTATTTTACCATAATATGATATAAATATTGTTAATCATTGTTTATATATATACATATAAACATTAAATTATTTCCTTTATCCTACCATCCCAACTTACCACCTACAAAAGTGGCTGCACCCGTCTCCATGGCATAATGGATTATCCTAGGACAAATTATTTTTTTCATATAATCACTACTGAAGCTAAAACTGAACTAAAACTGTATGTGTTATGACTCCATTATTTTCTATATTTTTTAAAACAAATTTTAATTCCAAGATAGTCATTTTATAAATTGGGTGTTACAAATATTTATTAATATAAAATTGATAAGTTTCAACAATCTTTTGAAGTTTACAAAAATGATTAACAAAATTATTTTTCATTGAAAAAATATTTTATTGTTTGTAATGTGACCAAACTATTATTGAATATTATACCATATAAATAATCAATGTAATATTATATAGAATTTACCGAAATCAATCACCGGTAAAAATCCAAAATTCTACTATGCTTACTGTCATGAGGTACGGTAACGGCCATCTCTCGCTGGCACAGGTACAGAAGGCCTATGGGTCCCACGACTTTTGTGGGGATGGTGAGCAATTGCGAAGCCGAATCCCGCAGTACTGGATGGTTGAGATAAAGGGTCCTCGTGTCCGGCGGCGGTTCGTCTTGAACCACGCCTTGTACCAGTAACACCATCCTGCAGAAAACAAATTCGTATCATTACCATTGTGTGGGTGTTTTTTTTCGGTAAATACTATATGGACATTTTTGGTGTGAGCCATAAAGACCAGAACAAATCAATAAGAAAACACATTAAAAAACTTAAAATAAAACACTAAAAGACTATAAATGGACTTTAATAATTTAATTATAGATTAAATAAATTGATATTGTTAGAATTTTAGTATTAAACGCCGAAAAAACCATGCTCCACAACAAATTTAAAATAACAAATAAAATAAAATTCCTTAATAATTCTCATTCGAATGATTATAATGAAACTAGCATCTATATGGAGTTTTTGAAAGAAAAAAAAAAATACGAAATCAATTTAAATTTCCATTCTTCATTATGATTACTACATTTTTTATTCGCATATTAAAAACGATATAAATACTTCTTTGTAAAAAAAAAAAAAAATAAAAATATATTGTAAGCTCAAAATGAACTCGCGCGACCAAATACGAGACTACTCGATATTATAAAAGATTCGGGCGAATTTCTGCGTGTCTGGTGTACGTATTTCTGTTCTTTTGAATACTTTCACGTGTATAATATTGTAAATGTCTGTGGCGTTTTTTTTTTTTTTTTTTTTTTTTTTTTTTTGTGTCTGTAAGCAACTCTTCGACCAAAATTACACCCTCACCCTTATTATAAACCAAATGCTCAAATTCGGAAATTAAGAATAATTTCTTATACGAATATAAGTGATAAAAGTTGAAGTGAATTTTAACATGAATTTCACTATTTTGTAGCGGAAAGAGTATGTTTTGTATACCTACATATTTATGTATAAACCACATACATACGTTGGCAATAAACATTTTGATGAAAATCGTAAAAATCACGTGATTTTGCGCATAATAGTACGCATGGTTAACTATAATAGTACAACTAGAAATTAAATTATCCTATATACTCAACTTCCCATCTTCAACATCATTAGCTTATTATTAACACAATCATGTACGAGGAGCGTATAGTGACCATGTAAAAAACATCCGTTAGTTAGGTTTTTTATTTTTATTTTTTTTGGACTTAATAATATTAACAATTTGGCGTTTAAACTAAAACAAATGCCACGCTGCGGTTTAATTTTTATAATTGACGGGTATTCGTTTAAACAATTTATAATAAAATATATTGTACACAACAATATTATATATATTTATATATTGTTAGTGTTATATTGTGAGTTTTATATATTTTACAGCGTTATAATGTAAGAATATGAATATATTAAATTCTATTGATTTATTTTAGTTACATAATAAATTAGTACAAAAAACTAGACATCAATTAGGAAAAAAAATGATTTAAGATAACAATATTAAAATACGTGTGTGTTTTTTTAAAACATTTATTATATTATATCTAAATTAAAAAAAAAAAAAAAAAAACCATTCATAATATATATACATCTAATCTAAAATCGTTTGTAAAAAAAAAAAAAAAAAAAATCAGAAATTCTGTTAATGATTTTTTTTTCTGATAATATATTGTATAATAGTACCTATAACTTGTCAATATAATAATTGTATAATTTCGTAACATTATCGTCCTAAAATATTATATTATATGTACCAATCAATCAAATTAAAAAACTTCTAACACAAAATAATATCATAATATGTACGCGTGTGAATTCAATAATTATAATATACCTATACAAAAAACCGTACCGAACGCGAGAGGACGATAATAATTATAGGTCGATACTTATCATGATTTACCATCCGTCTCTCGTATTTTCCTAGAGAAAAAAGGGGTAAAAGTAATAATATATACCTAATAAGAAAAATTGCCAAAGCGATAATCGATAATTCGCTAGACGTAAATGTTGGGTTTACAAAAGAATATGTATACATTTATTTTATAATATGATCGAAGAGAAAAATGGTTTTACACTCTATTATGTATATATTTTTTCCGCTATGAAGAACTTTTCGAGAAGAAATCTTGTTCCAACCAAAAAATATATTATATTATGTTATGTTATTTGGTTAACAATTTTGTATTAATCATTGGTTAGAGTTAAAACATATGTTAAAATCACATAGACAATTGCCAGGGAGTTGCTATAAATGACAATAAGTAATGGGAAAAAATGTATACTACAGACAAAATACAAAGTAGTACTTATTTTCGGAGAAAATTCCAATAATGTTATGAATTTATATTTAAAAAGGCGAACATGCTTCACACGTGGGTGCAACCCCACTGTTGTAGGTGGGAAGTTGGGGAGGTAGGATACAGAAGGAAAATTAATATATATCTGTAAGCAACAATAAACCATTGCTAACGAAAAAACGATTCTGAGCAGAGTTCAGTTAATAGTGATACTTTGGTCAACAATATATATGTCATACATTAAATTACAATGCATACTATTGAATACAACTAATTACCCAGTAAACACACATGTTTTTGTGTAAGTAGTAAAAATATTTAAAAAATTAATTTTATACAATGTAGTTTGATTTGAATATCTTTTTCAACAATGTTCGTTTCCATGACAACAGTGATTGTTTAAAAAAGATTATAATAATGAAAACTTAAAAATAACAAAAAATAAATAAAAATTGTTGCCAATGACAACCTTATTTTTAATCTTTAAATCTTTTTTAACCTAAAGAACCAGATTTTCTTCATTATCTCGAATATTAATGAGAACTTCAAAAAATGAATTTTCTAAAGTACCACCCAGAAAACATTTCCTTTTAGAAAAGGTGCTATAATTGATAATCGGAATAAGCTTTTTGGTAGAAAAAATGTTCACTTAAAAAACAATAAATTAATAAATAAACATTATTATATACATTACTCGCTTCACTCAGAATCTAAAACTAATAAGAACACAAATAATTTTACGGATAATATTATGTATCTCCTTGTCAACCAAATCAACAACCATAACCGAGGACATAACGGGGATATAAGGTGTTCTAAACTTATGTTAAGAAACCTAGAAACCTAAAAGGAAATTTAAAAAAAAGTTTTTTTGTTGATTTATGGGTTGGCGACACAGATGAAAAAACAATTTTAATGTTGGTTTAATAGTCACGGGTAAGTACTCTTTTTAAAAAATAAATATCGGGCAACATAGGTTATCTGTGATAATGACGGGGGAGTAGAAACTAGAATTCACGGGGAAAACCTTTTTTTTTTTATTTTTTAGGTCCTGAGCGAAGCGAGGAATGTATAGGTTTTAACATATGATGTGTACTTATTTTTTTTTTGGTATAAAACTCTTCTACCGAAAATCTGACTTCAAACGAAAAATGAAAATTAACTTTTTTGTTGCATTTTGGATCTAATTGGTGTTTTAAAAGGACATTTTTTGATTTGTGAAACGATTTTCACAATAGTTGGGAAAAACTCAAAATATATAAATTATGTACCTACGTAAATAATATAACTACATATTATAAATTACGATAATACATTTAAATTATCATAATCTAGAACGGATATAAAGAGCAATCTATTTATCAAATAAATTGCGCATCGCATTTCAAAATGACTTCGAACAACAAGACGGTACAAATTATAATAATTATTATTAATACCGTCAGATTTCACCTGATTAACGAACAGTTAAAACAAAAACACAAAGTTGTACAATAACAAATATTACGCTTTAAGTGCCTACAGTTTCTTAATGAAATGCGATTAGATATGTATTATAATTAGTTCGTTTTTCGAATGTGAAACTTTATACAATGACCAAGTCGCACGATTGTAAACATTTTTGAATGTCCGTTTAACAACATTTTATTCACAAAACAATATCAATATCCCATGCTTAACAACACCGTGGGTAGATCACTGTTATAGGTAAAAAATTAGGGAGGTAGATATAATAGAGGGTTATTTAAGTTATATATATATAAATATACTGAAAATAACGAAACAATCATTGTAATCGACAAACGATTTTAAGCAAACTGCGAAACTAGGTTAACCGGTAAGATTAGATAAGTAGGATATCCCTTGTACATAAGATAACCTAGAAATCGATGAAACAAAAAAACGATGTATATATTCACTTGTGTACAGGGGATTTTAAATTTAATTTCTAAAAATGGCAACCAATATTGAGCGATTTTACTCGCGCTTGATACAAAAACAATATTGAAGACCTGGAAATTCGTCACGTGTTTGGCGAATTTGAAGTAGTCAATTTCACTCAGATTGTTGAAACCTGTTATTATAGCAGTCTTGATGTGCACCATGTTTCCAATATTGTATTTCAGAAAATTGAATATAAAGTGGAGTACATTTTTTTTTTTTTTAAGAAAATTGTATTAATAAATTATGTTAAAAAACCACATTTTAACTGTACAGTTAAATATTAGAGCCAACCAAAAATGAACTATTTTGTGTGGAAATAAGAGCCGGTATTTTAAAAGACTGTTTCGGTTATTTATGTATAATATTATGGTATTCGTATATCTAATAATAATATGCAAGACAGCGTAAAATAAATGTATCAGGCATAACACAACGCGATTTATAAAGCCACAAATATAAATACTCGTTTAATTTATAAAATTCACAATGGAATAAAATATTCTAATACTACACTGTTCAAACAATATTATTCAAAACCCACTGTGGCAGGAGTTGTGTAACGCGATTAAGTAGGTACCTGCAACAACTCGGGGGGTCGTCGCATAGACAAAAAGAATAATTTAAACGTTTTAATTATATTAAATTACGTATAAGTAACATGATAATATAGTCAATAACCGTTCCATTGTTTGGTATAGTGCGACAACGTTTACTACAACTATAAACTGTCATAATTAAAATACCTATCACTATAAACAAAACTAATGACAAATTTATGATAATACGATAATATTAAAATAGTTTTTTGGTTTTAAACGGAAGTAAAATATGTGTACGTATTTGCATCAGCCCTTTTCATGGACAGTTTTGTAAAAACACGTCTGAGCACCAAAAATCATTAAAACCTTCACATAATGGAATGTTTGGGCACTGGTTTTTTTCTAGGTATACAGGTACATATACGGGTATAAATCATATAAATAGGATCTTCCAAATTTGACATTACAGTTTATTTAACAATGAAATGCTAATTTAATAATTGCATTTGTGAAACATCTTTAGAATCATAATTCTAAATGAATTTGATATATTTTTTTCAATTTTGTATGAATCAGTAAAAGAAAGGAAATTAGATATGTCATAAATTATAAGTAAATCATAAATACCGAACTGATGATACAATAGATATCGAGAGACTGTGTTACCCCTAAGACAGATTTTACATGTTTTATTAATATTAATAACACAAATGGATTTTGATTTTAGTAGGTTAACAATGGATTTGGTGCTCAAAGGACTTGCAATCGTTTTTTTTTTCCATTTGAGCGTATAAAATAATTACAGTGACGAAGACAGCATTTTTGAATGGAGAGGAGGGGATTTGTGTGGCCATCTTCAGACGATAATGATGCCAACGAAATATTGTCCAAATAGAATGGTGTGTGTCATTTTTCGCACACGGCCCATGAGACAATCAATTTCTTGCTTGAAAAATGCTCGAAAAGTAGCCAAATTTTGTCTCAAAGATCTCAAGACCATACTCACTCTTGACATCGTCCTCTGTGGGGATGTAAAATCTCTCGTATACAAAAACAATTTAGAAACTAAAAATAGAAATTCGTCGCTTGATTGGCAAATTTGAAGTGGAAATATATAAGCGAGCCGAAGTCAATTTCACTTAGAGGGTTGAAGCCTACAATTATACATTCAATGTTAGCACATAACCAGAAAACCTATCCAATTGTATTCTAGCCATAGATTTTAGAAAATCAATGTGAATTAAAGTGCCGTACATTTATAAGAAACCCAATTTTTAATAATGTTACGAAAGTTATTATCATTAAATATGGCATTCATAATAAACACTTTTTATTTAAACGAGCGTCCCGAAAAAAGACGTAATTAATTTAAGAGAATTCACATTTAACCTTGAACGTGGTAATAAAAGAAATACAATTTAATTTAATTTCGGGAATTTTGTTGCTGGAATCCTAATCTAACATCTTCTATATACCTCAAAAAAAAAAAAAAAAAAACCTTAATTTAATAATTATACCTACTTACTATATTAAACTTATATGAATTCACGTCACATATTATCGTTGTAATTATAAAACATAAACATAGTACATTCCATTAGCCGCGAAGAAAGAAAATAAAGTATCGTTAACAATATAAATTCGCGTCGACTAAAATCTCGTTAGTAAATATTGCGTATGTATACATTATACAGAATGATTTTATTTTCAACATCATCCAGTTATTGCATACAGAGATCTTCATTACAATTTATTTTGATTTTCCAGTAGTTACAATAGAATTTCTTTAGGATATTATTTAAAACATTTTCAAAATTGTACTCTCATTTCGTACCCCACAAACACACATCAACTTTTGATTTTTAAAAAACTAACTCACCCCTTTTAAACCAAACTCGAAAAGAGAATATTTGTCAAAAAATGTTAATATGCATAATGCATGTTGGATATATGAGTTATAATAGAACAAAAGAGTAGTTATATAGACTGTTATAACTTAAAGACGGTATATTCGACATTAAATGTTGTCTCGGCTATTGCGACGGATCTGAAATGTTTATATTAATAACCCACCAAACTTATAGTTAATGACTCTAACAGGTAAAATTTGGGTTTTGTGAGCAAAGGATTTTCGTCCGTTTTTCCGATTAAGCGCTTAATAGTTTAAATAAACCTACTTAGGTTATTAAGCCAAAAAGTTGTAATCATATAGGTAGGGTACCTACTTATTTTTATCTACTTACAACAAAAACTGAAGTCTGTGTTGCCATTTGAAAATCGAATTACTCTTTCGGGGTATAAGAATTAAGGGTACACATCTGGAAATAGTGTCAAAATCAATCTTGAGCAATTTCATAAAGATTGAAAAAAAATCACTCTGTATACGCACGAGTATCGTTAATAAAAATAAAAAAACTACGCGGAAGATTCTATTAATATTTTTCATAAACGATATCCGTGCGTCGTCATCGTGGTTCGACAACTGATATAAATTAGGTACATATTACACGACACGAGATTCGAGTACCCGCGAATCGACAATTTAATAAATATAATATTCGAAAAACGCGAGACAAAATATCTTGATCAAAAAAAAATCCGAATAAACGGACCAAAAATCGGATTTAAAATAAATTATTTTATTTTATTCGTGTACGCGTTTACAGCTGAAATATTGGCCGAAAAGGAATATTAATTATTAATCAAAGTTTATGAAATACTTTTAAAAAATATTTGGGAACTATTTTTGTATTATTTTTCATATACGCATATACCGTACTGATATAAATGTTAGAACTTTTTTTCCGCGGGATTTTTCGCCGGTTCGTCGGAATAAAAAAAATATTCTACAACTGGCATATATAACACAATTAAAATCGCTACTCAACGATAACCGTATATACGATTCTGAAATCCTAAATGATACCATCAGATTGGCCAGCTGCTGAATTTTTGTCGTTTCTCTCAAAATAAATTGAATAATTAATTTCACAGCAACAAAACGATACACATATTAAACAAAGTTACTTTATAAATCACGTAATAAGCACATCGGTATAAAATATTAGTATGAATTAAGTACATCGAATACAAACTTAAATTGTTATGTCCAAATAAATATAATAAAATTATGAATAGAATAGGTACTTAAAATTTCAAATGTCAATAATGATAAATAGGGCTCGGAAGTTAATGCACTAAAAAACATTAAAATTCATTGCATTATTGCTGTAAAAATTATCCGAAATTGCAATAATTTTTTTTTACTAAACTAACTATTTAAAAAGAAAAAATAGTACAAGCTTTATTGGGTTATTTTCTTATTAACGTCTCGGGAAAATAATAACTTGTGTATCGTTTTATCAAATGGTATTTTCACCGCTGAAATCGACAAAGCCCGAAATAACCATCAATACGCATATGACATAATATTATTTGCATAATATTAATATCTGACACGACCCTCATCGTTAATTTATTTTAACATAAAAAAAAATATCAAATCATGTGAATAATATTTAGAAATATCTAAAAAGCACGATTTTCTTCATTTATCATTATAAATGAAGAAAATCAACAAATCGAAAAAATACCAATAATTGCAAAAAGTCGCACTAAACATTTTTAGATTTCAATTCGTATTTGCATGAAACGAATTTAAAACCAAATTGACAACAAATCTTTACAAAAGAAAAAGAGCTGCAATTGCAACAACTTCCGAGCCCTATTGATAAATATTATTCAGATAAAACATAACAAAATGAAAAATTTAATTCGCACAAATCAAATACGAATTGGTGATTTTTACGATTTGCGTAATAATATAATAACACGAGTAAAATACGGTGAAAATGTCAGATCTCTACGATTATTATTTGTCACCAAATATCGGCAAAAAAACAAAATCGATTTTAATAGAAACAATAATATTCACATTTTCCGGCTTACCCCTCAATTTCCTCCATTATTAAAAAAATGGCACACATCATAGTAAAACTATAATATAATATTATTCATTAATTCACTCGGAATTCAAAAAAAGTGTTCCGAAACTCGAGAGTTACTACTGTCTATTATTATAGATATAATATGCCATGTATTAATTTAATAATCTTCGAGTGAAACCAATTTTTGGAATAAATGGTCGGACTATACGTACTACACGCATGATTGGAATTATCGAACATAAATAATAATACAATAATAGTTGAGCGAAGTAAATGTTTTGTTTCAATACACAAAGTGGTCGATTACATTACGAACAAAATTACACGATGTCAAATTCGAGAGACCAATTATTCGTGAAAAAATGAACATATTATCTTGAAATACTTTTATATTCCACGAAGTGGTTACCACATAATGATTTATTGTATTTAGAAGAAAAACATAGCATACAACAACTAATTAAAAGAAAATACAATGCAAATTATTGTCTCCAAAAGTTGGTATTAGAATTAAAGGGTTTCCTAAATGCTGTCCTTAATAAAGAATTTATTATATTTCTGAGTAGTCTTAAATATTTATCAAAATTACCATCCCAGACACAAATTTCATAAGTATATACTGATTGCACAATAGTACAAAAAAACATTTCCATCGCATTTACTGATAAAATGCTATTTAGTATTTTAAACTTACAGAACATACACCTTAGTTTTTCAATGGTTATACCATGCTATCATGGTACCTATCTGAGCTCACACCTCTTGTACACAAGCTGCAGTTACAAGAACCCGTACAATTTTCCCCTTGACATTCAAGACTTCAAACTTTTGATATGGAAAAAAGAATATAAAAGGTTTTATTAAATCATATAATATACATAATCAACTTATACCTAATTAATATCAAACACGGATGAAATTTGAAGGCAATGGGGACTTTGCGCTGAAATATTGTTTAGCTTGGAAATTAACTCAAATTAAAACGCGTTAAAGGGACGGTTAAAGGTACGTTGCAAAAAGTAACTACTATCAACTGTACGGTACACCATCAGTCAGGCACGTTATTACATAGTCCGATAACAATGTTTACACCCAAACTCGGCCACCACTGTTGTAAGACAAAAAAAAAAAAAAAAACATTTGAAAATCCTTTTTAACAATCGTTACGATTAGGAATATTATTTTAATGTTGAATAGTTAAAAAAAAAAAGGAACTTTATCAGAAAACTTTCTACGCAAAATCGGTTCGTTTTACTCAATTACAATGTTTAGCAATGAACAAAAAAAAACCGCGCAAAGTGACTACTATTAAACGTTATGTGACGCCTATTTTTAGGGTCCGCGGCGGTTCCCGGACTTTTTCGAATTCCCTGACTCTACCGGGGTATCCGGAAGCCGCCGCGGCGACCGCGTTTTAATACTAAGTCTTTACACTATAGGAGGTGGCTGGTGTCCGTATACTCACGCGAGCGCGAGTTCCCGTCTCCGCGGATGGAAAACTGCAGTCGACGACGCGATATTTATCGTAAATAGTAATAGGAAAAAAAATGATAAAAAAAAACAGTATACGGTACGATAATAACACAACGATGTTGCGATATTTTCGCGGCCGGATAAACGCGATGGTTAATACTCTCGACGCGTTTCCCCCCGCCCGTGCCGACGACGACGACGACGTTTCGGAACGCGCACCGGAACCCGACCAGAACGACCGACCGGCGACCGAGAGCGGTGCGAGTGACGACGCGGTGTTCTGTGCGACGACCGGCGTGTGACTTACGAATTTCGCCGACGACGCGACGAGTTTTTCCCCCGACGACCGCCCGACACCCGGGCCCCGGCCGAACAAACCCCCTCGGGCGAGCACGACTACACGTCGTACTGCATATAAAATAATAATATAAAAAGAGAAAAATAATAACAACAATAATAATGCGCGCGGCGACGGAGGATTGGATTCGCGCGATGCGGAATTCCGCAGCAAAACCGGTTGTTTCTGTGTCTATCTGTGTGTGTGGGTACCCGCGCGCCCGTATTTAATAATACGCGCCGCCGTGGCTTACTGGGAGACTGCTGTAGCCGCCGCCGCTTTCCACGGGCTCCTATCTCCTCCACCCGCGCGCACACACACACACACACACATCACACGCGGATCTCGGTTTTTTTTTAGAAAGTACCGTTGTGTTGTACACGCCGCAAGTACGTGTGCGTGTGTGTTTTTTCCACTCTCCGACTGTGAAAAACCGACCTGTTGGGCGGCGGCGGCGGCGGCGGCGGCGGCAGAAGAAGAAGACGCTCGACCGTTCGCCGCCGTATAATATATTATCGGGTTTTATAACCCGTCGTATCTTTCTCACGAGTCGCGCATACGATGATGATGATAATAATAATAATAATAATAATATGCGCCGCCGCACAACATTGTAATATTACCGTACTACGATATTATTAGAATTGTTTTATTATTTTATTATCACACAAACTGGCGACGATTTACGCTGGGCCGGATTAAGTCCGAGTGTATGTATTTGTTTTAATAATCCATTATAATCGTGTCGTCTTAACTCTAAATAATATATTATTAATAAAGTACGAATTTAAATGCTCTAAAAAAAAAATCTTTTTTTTATTAGGTATATAAATTTACTAACCACAACAGTATAGTGCATTGCGACTGTAATACAACTCGATAAAATGCTCATGGTTTTCTTTATACACAGTGTAAACCCTTAATTGGTGCAGACAATATGAACTCTTGTGCTATTTGTTTGATAAAGCCTAAGTTTTTTGTGCCTTACAACATTCTTAATATGCAGATTAGGGCTAAACGTAGGAGTAAGGATAAAACCTAAGTCACGAACAGACTTATTAAGTGACAAAATAGGATTATTATTAATGGTACATGTGAATTTAAATGGGTTTCTGGTATGGGTAAAGGTCATAGAACGACATTTACGAACATTAAATAAAAGACCTAAGGATTCCGCCCAGGACATGAGTCTATTTAAATCATTTTGAAAGAGGACATAATCATTAACAGAGTTGATACGAAGAAATATTTTAAGATCATCCGCAAACGCTAAAAGTTGAGAACCACATAAAACCCAGTTGAAACTATTAATAAATAATGAAAATAGTATAGGAGATAAATGGCCACCCTGAGCTACACCTGATGGCATAATTGTAGGAGGGGATACTATCCCGTTAATTTTTACCCATTGTTTTCTACATAAAAGGAATGAGCCAAACCGTGATAAAAATGGTTCACCTATTTCAGTTCAAGCAAGTACTTTCAATAGAGAATGGTGATTTACACGATCGAAGGCCTTGACAAAATCAATATAAATCACATCAACTTGGGAGTGAACACCAAAAGCATAAAATATATAATTGCAGAAAGTTACATTGCAAGTTGTAGTCGAATGACCAGGACAGAAACCATATTGTTCATCAATCAATATGGGATTAATATACAATCTAAGATAAGAGATTCAAATAGTTTGTAAACGTGGGATAAGATGGATATAGGCCAGTAATTTTCAACCAGAGAAGCATCAGGTGTTATGTAACTAATTTTCCATAAATCAGGAAATACACACTCCAATAACGAGCGCCTAAAAAGGAACTATTAAGGAAGGTCATAAGACAAAATATCAAAATAAAGACAAAATAAAGTTAGATCGATCAGTAGTAATGACTACTTGAGTAGAATAAACGGAGTTAAAGTAGGAGGAAAACATATTAGTTGTATCTTGCTTATCGTATGTGCGTATGTATGTTACTACTGATACTGTTAAAAGCTTGATACATTTAAGAGTGCAACAGTTAAATCAATTTTTTCTAACGAAGTCCCAAAACTTCTAAGGTTCTTTATTGAGAAATTGTTCAGTTCGTTGTATAAAAGAAGAGTAACATTTTTTAGACAAAAACTAGCATTCAGCACGAAGAAGAAAATTTTTTTTATAATCTAGAGGATTACCAGTATATTTAAGCAATAAGAACACCTCCTCTAGTGCAAGAGCTAGATGTAGTACATTTGTCATATTTAAAAACATTATAATTATTAAGACCTTGTTTATTATCATAAATATTATTACAAAACCAAGTTTCTATTAATACGAGGAAAACATAATTTAAAGAGAAAATATTACATCTAAAAGTGGTTAATTTGGTATGGGCCTCCATAGAGGCCTCTCTGCAGTTTTGATAAAAACCAGAAACAGCATGGTGACTTGAAGGAGGGCTTGATTTTATTTAATTGGAGATAGGTATAGATTGGAGTTTTTTAACCGACGCTGCATGACCTTAGGGGCCCTATTAAGATACGAGATAGTGAGATCAGCTTCACCGGCTTCAGTTTGACGTTCAAGTTCGGTATGATATGTACGAAGTAACTGTCTTTCCAGAATAGTTTTATCTCTTACTATCTTGAAGTTAGTAGGAATAAAGAAACCATTCTTCCTGGCTGCACCAAACACAGAAACAAAAATAGCAGCTTCGTCTTTTAATGAGCAAATCAAATGGGTTCTGTCATCAATAATACGGTTAGAAATGCCAGTAGAAAGAGATTCAGGTAAGCCATAGATTATGACATTAAACGCACACTTATTTTTTTGGATAAAATCTTGATATAATTGTGTTATAGAATTAATAAGTTTCTGTTCAGAAAGAGAGGTTGATTCAATTAATTAATATTTTCCTTTAGCTCAGAAAATTCGTTCTGAAGGCAGTCGTTTTCAGATTCAAGCGCAGTGACTTGAGCAGCAAGACGTCTAATACTTTTTATTAAATCGAAAAATTGAGCTGAATAAGATTCAGCCGAGATATTATTAAAACTTAAAATATCGGTCTATAAAGACTGCAAGTTGCAAATAGCAGCTAGTAAATCACTGTTAGAGGGGTTTTCAGTTAGTTGTTTTTTTTAAACGAGTAGAAATATTAGATAAGTGTGGAGAGACATCCTTAGTTTTAGAAGCAATAGGCATACCGAAGAAAAAATGCAGAGCTACTACAGCACCCTGTATGCTGATGTATGTAATTAAGGATACACTACGTATATACGGATAAACGAGAAGCGTTTCCCTACCAGTAATTAGATAACTGTGACACGTGCGGATCAATAGGCGGGAGTTATCCCGTTAACGATCTGAGTCGATAAGAACAAAGATAAAACTTATGGTTGACAGCGGCCGTGTGGAGCTTAAATAAGCAGCTAGAAACAGAAAAACTGATCTGAAAGAAAAAGCGTTAAACAGACCAACTCATAAACGACATCAGTATGTGCGCGCACCTTTTTAAAAAAGAATCACATAAAACGGCAGATTATTCAAGTAGAAATTAAAGAGAAACACGGGAGATATTTCTAACATGTGCACATGTTCGCTGTGGACTAATACCGATTATAATATGTTATAAAAACCTTAATTACGATGATTTATATAAGGAAGCTAACTTTTCTTTAGCGTTAATTATCAATTGGTGCGATAATAATATACAGTTAAATTTAGCCAAATCCAAGCAAATCATTTTTAATATTACGAAACCTTCATGTCATAATATAATAAGTCCTGACTTTTCATTATGTGTTCACTTTTTTAAATTGTACATATCTAAATTATCCTTGTGTGTGTGTACTTTTGGAAAGACTTAATTATTGCATTAAGTATACATTTTGACTATAAACTAAAATTTATTGAACATATAATATATTATGTAAACAATCTTAATAGAAAATTATTCATTTAGCTCTCATACAATCTGTTTTTTCTTATGGTATCTCAGTGTGGAACTGTACACATTCCTCCCACATCGATGTTCTGTCTAAAAATATTAATTTCTTAATTAAAATTATTCTTAATAAACCTAGATTACATTTTTCTAACTCAATTTAGTCTGAGTTTAAGGATCATATTTTTATTCAACCTTATGGACGACAGGTTCTATTACGCATACTATGAATAAAATTCATAATAATAAATTTCAGCGTACACATTGATATAATACAAGAATTAAAAATAATTATAATTTAATTGTACCATTTAATCACTCTGATTTTGGGACACATGGTCCAATAATTAAAGGAATTTTTTGTTTGGTAAATATAATACTAAATTAAATAATTTTGTTAGTTTTAACAACTACAAGAATTACATTAGCAATATTTTCACTTCTTTTTAACTAGTAATTATTTTATACTTAATGTTGCATTTCTGATATAGACTACTGTCTTATATAAATCCCTTAATTTTATTTTCTTATGCACTCATTAATTATGAACTCAACTTAGCCGTTACAACCATTTCTATATTTATTGGTTGAGCTTGCAACATTTATGATAATATGTTATTTATTTACGTATGTATTGTTGTTACTAAAGTAAATAGTATTATTAATATTATTAAGTGTTTAATAATTATTATTATTTCGATAGAAAAAAATAATGTTTTTTACTAATTTTTTTTTTTTTATATTTTCTACTTTGTGATTACATAGTCACGTAATCACAAAGTAGGCCATTGACAAAACTAATATTTTATCACCTCCCCTCCCCTATTATTTTCAAATAATTTAATTTGTTTATCTTTGTTATCTTTGTCACGCCGGTTATTAAAAGTGATCCTTTGAATATTTTTAGATACTTGTTTCAGAACTTGAAGGACTTTGCAAGGAACTATCGCAAGAGTTCCGCACACACCTTAAATCCTTACGACTTTCCTTGTGACCATGTGTCTTTTCAGTTAATAATTGAAAACTTGTGGTTGAGTTAGGGTTCTGCGAAACAATAATTTATTTTGTAAGGGTGCCCATAAAAGTTTGGGAATTGTTGATCTAGACAATCGTTCACATGATAAGCAAAAAAATAAATCACGGTATATTTTAATACACAACGTTTTCAGTTTACGGAGGCCATGGCGCACATGTGTGATAACAACCCACGGACAGATGAATATTGACATTATTATTATTAACGAAATATCGCGTGTTTGACCATTGATTGTGTAGCCCCTCGTTCGGTCGTTAAAGTCTCAACACACGTTACACGGTCAGCCTAGCTAACCTAACCGACCATCTTCGTCATGTATAACTATATCTACGAGCATCACATCAGAAACCAGTCGGACGGTAATTATTTGTATCGATTTTTTAATTCTCCGCGACGTAATATTATATATTTATGAACTCTATAATATAATATAATGAGCTGTCCGTACGACTTTATTCGAACGTCACGAAGTGCACCCGCGGTTATATTTGCGACGAATAAAATGCATATAATATTATACGAGTACCTATATTAAATTTAACTTTCGAGCATTTTCTCTCCGACGAGTTTCGTACATATAAAAAACGTATTTTAATCGTGTAAATCGATCCGTACGTTTTGATACACGCGCGCGCGAAATTAATATTCAATTAAATGAATATGTTACATTTACATTTTTTGTGTACCAGCTGAATTATCCGATATTTTCTATACTCAGTATTTTTAAAATCCAAGAAATTTAACATGTCTCCCCGTATTCACCTTATCCCTATCACGTGGCTCAGTTGTTTATCTTTAAAAAGGGTAAATTGCCTTGGACAATCAAATTAAACAAAATTAAACTCAATTTTTGTTCCAAAAATACCAAAAACCCTGTGCTGGCTACCTTTTAGTGAAAGCTACTCTATATTTTTTTTATGTCAAGTATACAAAATTTCACTGAAACAAAAATAAAACTGTAGATTTGTATATAATAGGGAACAAGCATACAGCTATATTTAAATATTTTATACAACAGGATATTAATAACCAATATGAAATAATGAAATTTTGTAATATTCCTAAAATACTTAGGTATTCGATAGATTTATCTGTTATCAAATACGACGTAATATTATTATAATGAAATGATAACACATTTCGTTATCAACGTTTAAGTATAAAATATAAATATTTCGTGTTATACCATAATTAGTGATTAAGTACTGATCGAAAATAATTATTATTATAAACAAATATTCCTATAGCAATAAATTATGTATCTATACATAAACAATTTTTATTTTTTTCCCAAGTGATTTAAATATATGCCGTATAAACATCAGCTGTAAAATTGGCGGCGATCATCGTTTGAGCATCATCTGTTTACCTGCTTTAAAATATCGTACATAATTTTCGCGTTAATATGTCAAACTAAACTTAGGTACCTAATCGTTCAAAAGTAACATAACTTTTTTCCCCCTTTGTTTTCACCCCAACTATTTGGAGTAAACTGTACCTAGTTATTTAATAATATCTGATTGATAATCAAATGAAATGTATGGATCGGTCGTTGTCACAACTCGTCCGTTATCGTCGTAATAAGTATAAATATATATATATTTTTTTTAAATTTCTGTTTTAAAAATATTTTCACAATAGAAAAACACCTCTTTACAACTACAGAAATGTATATTATATTTACGTCGAAATTGGATTTTAAGCTGAAAGTTAGCAAACGATTAGCACTTTTCGGCCCTCCTTATTCCTTTCAGTCTTCCAATTGTTCAATATTATATTGATGCGAAAATGATGTATGACCGAAAATCTAACAGTGCACAAAAAACGGTTTAAAAGAACAATAGTAATGTACGAATGATATACGACCAAAATCCGACCTATCATTACCGAGATACGTTTATGACAGTATAATCTGAATCAAACAAATATTTAAAATTTGACATAATTAAGTAGGTGTTTTACGTTAAATATTTGATAGTATAGGCCCGCAGCTTATAAAGCGTGCCTTTAATTTTTGATTGTTTATGATGGCTACGAAAAATATTTTATATTTTTTAGTATAATATTGTGTTCATGAATGAAAATAATATCGACAGTTGTAGCAGATAAGAATAACAATTTAAAATAATATATATTATGTAACATGATCAACGGCCGAATATTATATTGTAAATTACGTAAATTTAGAGTAAGGTTAGATCATACAGAAAATATAAAATTAACCAAATCGTATCAGATAAAAGATAATAACACACTCAAAAATATAATGATGAACTATTGCCTAATACTGTAAGCTGCAGTAGTGCAGTATTACCTCTTAATACTAAAGCAAGAGCACCGATTTGTATGTTACTGCATACATTTTCTATTTTCATATTTTTAGATTTTCGTTACCTAATAATCTTTGCAAGATTAAATGTTATTTATAAAAAATTGCATGACGAATATTTTACTGTGATAACATTTTTTAATTTAAAATAATGCACGTCACAAAAAAAAAATGTCAATCGTCGCCAAAACGAAAACTTTTTTACTGAACATAATATGCCGCCGTATTTCAATGAATACATAATCGCTTTTTAGGTAAAGGATTATTAGTAAGTATATTCGGTATTTCGGTTTCTCTTAATGAATCTACATGGATTACACTAAAATATAATATGTTTATTCGCAAACATAAAATTGGCACAAGAATCATTTGGCCTAAAAATATCCCACATATAACAATATTCGACCGAGTTTATTATTTTTATAATAGATGACAAAACATTTCTCGCGAATTGGCCAACTTAAATAATTTAAGACACGAAGCAAAGACATTTTAACAACTATATATTTAGAGATTAGAGATAAAAAATCTGAACGAGTTACTCAAATTTAATATCTAAGATATATTAAATATGCATTATATTATATAATATAGTAACAGATTTATAATTATTTTATTTTTTTATAACTAAGTTGAATTGCTATAGAATAGATTATAATAAGTTACTTTTTAAAGTGAACATTTAAGGAAAACTATTATTCCTTATAATTTATCAATATTATGAACAAGGTTTAGGTTTAGTTTATTATTATTTTTGTTTTTGTGTGTCATTAAATTTAACAGAGTTCTATGAAAATTTATTTTTATTAATACAATGAATTCAAATATGAAATTTAAAACCGCTTTTTTACTTATTTCGATATATTATTTTAACTTGCTAAGATCAATAAAATATTTTTAATTTTAATATAGAGGCGATATTTTTCAATCCAACTGCGGATTTATGAACGAATTTTTACCCACTTAAAATCTGCGAAAAAGCGCTTAAATTGTCAAAACCGCATTTGCACTTAGAAATATTTAAAAGAGCAAAAGTGGTAGAGGGGTTTTATAGTCTCTCATCTAACAGTTCTAACTCTATTACATAAAATTGTCCAAGATTGACAAATAATTAACATAAATTATAATTTTTTTTTTTTTTTTTTAAACACGTACAACTTTATTTGAAAAAAATTACTTTTTGATAATCATTTTTTTAGTGTAAAATATTTTTATTGAGTTAGAACTATTAGAGGGGGACTTATAAAACCCTTTACCATTATTGCTCTTTTAAATATAGGTATTTTTGAAGTGATTTTTTAAGGCTTTATTGACGATTTAAGGTTTTTTATTTGGATTTAAGTACATATAAATTCCCCTAGTTATTAGTTATCTATTGTAACAGGGTGTTTAGGTTTTAGAGACCACATTTAAAATACATTTCGCGATTAACGAACGATATTTTACCCTATATTTTATGTATACTGTATACCGTATAATATGTGTATAAATATACATTTAAAATAAGGTAATTATTATAAATACAATATGTTTTAGTATATATTATCAATAGCATCAGGTCGTTGTTAATTATTATATCAATATCATTATAATAATATACACGTATAGGCCATAATTATTGTTTACAACTATACCTATAGGACCTATATATATATATATATAAATTATTAGTATATTATCTAAAGTACATTATTAATACATTCTCGTAAAGAATTTAATTTACGTGTATTATCATAATAAGCAGAGGCAATTTATATACAGAGTGTCTTACAGTGTTATCCTTATGATAATAACTCTGTAAATATTCATTTTTTTCTTCAATCAGGTTTTGTGCGAGTGGGACACATATGTAGAAAAAACTATATTTATATTTCCATCCTTTAATTACTGAAAAAGATAACTTTTTATTTTTCTAATTTTTACAATTTTCCAAAATAGCCATTTTGTAAAAGATATTATTCAAAAAATAGTAATTTAACAAACATGCATATCCGATCTCTTTTCTCGAATAGTTTCTTAGTAATAGCTGTTTTAATTGCACATGTCCCTATCGCTCAAAAACAGATTGAAAAAAAAAATGTGAAAAAATTAATATTGACACAATTATTCTCATAAAGATAACACTATAAGACATCCTGTATACAAATAAAAATAATAGTTGGTGCCTATATTTTCAAATTCGTGTACAAAGTTCGTTAAGCGAGTCCAACAAACACTCCGCGGCATACATTATACAAAATGCGATGAGATAATAGTATACACACTACATGTAGCTAAATTGTTGGAAAGTTAATAATAATACTTATGCTTTTGAATAATAAAAACTAGTTTTTTTTTCTTTTTTTACGAGTCGTATGCCAAAAATAGTGTAAAAAAAAAAAAACTAATTTTCTGTGGACCACTATATTCACTACTTCTACTACTACTACTACTGCTATAACTGCTATAATATTGTATAATAAAACAAATTAGGTACAACGCTCGTTTTTCAAACAATATAATACAACTGAGGAAAACAAAAATTGATGATTAATGTTAGTATAATTACGAAAGAAAAAACACCATAATATAATAAACGTGGTTTTAAATGACGGTTGAGCGTAATTATGGGCCCATCCATAGGTATATAAATACAAATCGTTTTTTATTTCACAAATTAAGTGTCGTTTAGATAAGGGAGGTATATGTCCCATAAAAAATTACAACAATTCGACTAAATTGCGTATTCAGAAAAACGAGATACTTTTTTTTATTGCATTTTTAATCTGGTCAGTGACTAAGAAAGTCATTTTTTGATTTTCTTTGTAGTTTATTTAAAACATTTTCAAAAGTGAATATAAATATTTCAAAACATTAGAGCCATTTTTGAACTATTTATAGACTTTTTAATTTTGCGAGTTTTTTCCGTCATTTTTATTTGGTAGCTGCTCTGTGGACAAAATTATTAGATTAAGCTGAAATGCTTGAAAATTTAACAAAAAGTTCATTATAAGTCATACTAAGTTTTTTTTTAAAAAAAAATTTAGAGTAATGTATTATTTGGTTTTATTTTTTTTTTAAATAGGAGTTTTAAATTCAAATTTTGAATACCGTAAATATTACGGTCTTTCAAAACATTTATAACCGAACTTCGCTCCGAAATATTTTTTATTACCAATGGTTTATATGGTTTTGGCTAGATATAAATTAAATAACATTATTTATCCCATTTTCCCACATATAACAGTGACCACATTCGTCTCCAGTATCAGCTCTTTTATATTCTAAACAGAACGTCGAATATATTGGTTTTACAATGATGTTTATTTTTTATTTTTTCTGAGAACAACTTTGCCAGACATTTCACTCTGGGTTTCAAGTATAGCAATTTTTCTAAAAAGAAATCTAACTGGAGTGGTACTATTTAGGGAGGTAATTTTTTGATTTTTCCAGGAGTTTTCATAATAAATGGGAAAAAACGTAGTAAAACGGGAAAATGTACTAAATCTATTATTTTTAAATAGTAAATATTACGGCTTTTCAAAACGTGTATAATCGAACTCTGCTCAGAATCGTTTTTCGTTAGCCATGATTAATCGTTGCATACAGATATAAACTCAATTCATCTATTATACCTTCCCAACTTCTCACCTACAATAGTAGTCCACCCATCGTGCAAAGTATGTAAGTTTGTTTTTATAAAAAATTATAATCGTTAAAATCGATACTGTTCAATGAGCAAAAAAAAATAACTGTAGTCAAAATTGTAATCAGTCAATCAAATAAACCCCTTAAATAAACGACTTCACCGCACTCATGCATTTTTATTATACCTTTATGATTTTCAATTGATTCAATCAATTTTCATTTGATAACCGACCATAAAGTATCACGGTATGGAAATATATGGAAATAACTAAGTGATATTAAGTAAAAATAAAACAGTGATGCAATATTTTTAAGTCATAGTGATAATATAATTTTGAGTAATTGAGTTCTTAACAGTAATTAATAGATAATTTATAGTTCTTAATAGTAATTGAGTAATTTGTAAAATTACACAAATTATAACATCATTAACATATTTTTAAATCAATACCTAAAAAAAATCGTCGCTAACGTAAAATATTCTGAGCTGAATTTGGTTAAACTGCATTGATATTTCGATAACAGTATTATTATGAAAACTCGATAAATCCGTTCAAGAATCTGTTGAACATGAAGAGGATTGAAAGCGGTGATTTTCTGTCTTTGTTTTATTCACATGCAACATAAAAATTGACTTTCCCATATGTTTGATTTTATCCCCTAAATTCTAAAAAAGCCATAAAAAATGGAATATCTCAATTTTTTGAAAAATTAAAATTATAAAGTAGGAAAGTAGATCTCAAGTAGACTTCACGATAAATTCAAATTTGCTTTCAGAGTTCTTATCACTTCACAAAACCAATCGGTACGTTGGAAATAGAACACATCTTAATTTCTATGTTGCACGTGTGCAAGACGAAAACAGAAAATCACCTAATCGAATACCATTACATCGTTCCGACGAAACCGACAAATCACTAAGTACTATATTTCTTACAATCTGAAATTATAATATAGACAACACGTGTTTGAAAAAAAAAATCGATATGAAATCAAAAACTTACAATATGTACCACAGCTGCTGGTAAACGTATCGCAACATAATATTTCAGATTAATAATATTATATCGTAGACCGATGTCATTAAAAAATCAAGAACGAGAAGATCTCACTGCGGGTGGTTATTTGTTATCTTATCGGCGTTATCGAAACACCCGAAGGATATTTATATTTTCCACATTATTATTTACTGCGTCCAGCAACGATAACGAGTAGATACCCTATAACATAACTATCACGATGTTATATTATTATGATCTGCCGATGAAATGCATTAATCACCCGACGCTCGTGGTATGTAACGACTGAAGAAGAGAGAAAGATACGAATAACTAAACGTGTCGATCCAGCATAAAATATTATATGCCTACTACTAATACCGAAGGTACGACTAGCGTGGAAAAAAACTCTGACAAAGAGTGATCATCACTGTCGAGTTAAGACCTATTCTTTCCGAAACCCGTTAAATGAATATATAAATATACTCAAATACCCAATATTCGCCCGACCGACTACAAACCCTACCCATACGTTTCACACGTAAAGTATTATTTCAAAATGATTTATATAATAGTGCCACGATGCCGTTAACAAAATATCGGTACACCAATTACCATTGATTCATTTTTATAAACAATAATATTACCCATGCACTAAAAACTTGTCTCAAATCATTAGTAATTCACAAATATTAGTATGATAAAATCGACCTGAATATTTCGAGTAGTGTGTCACCCAAAAAGTAATTTTTAAGTAAAAATGATTTTTTTGACTTTGTATTATTGAAAACAATAATACAAAATGAAATTTGAAAATTGAAAACAAAAATTAAATAGCATGCCGTTTAAGCGACTTGAAGCAAAAAATGTCCATTTCAAACAACAATGTTCATTGACCCCCCCTAACGATCCTTGACTTGTCGGTATCCATGCGATATATAAGTGATATAATGCGTGATTTTAAATCAAAATCATAAACAAACCGATTTTTTTTTTTTAAATTTTAAATACAGCTCCTGGTACTTCTTTCGCAGATAATAGTGATTATAATATCACTGATACTATTATGCGAAAAAACTAATCTTAAGGTTATTGATAATAAAACGGTAACAAATTTATCCAGTGTAGATGGCTTGGTTAAATATAAATATAATAGCATGTCACGTGGGTTGACTAATATCAGTATAAACTCAAATGATGCAATTCTATTTTGGAAGCAGATTCGACGAAAAACATTATTAATCAAAATACAACGAACTCTAATCAACTCTAAACGTGTACACGGTGAGTAAACAAGATATTTGATTAAAAATATGCAGTTCAACAGGCCAATTGATTAATAGAGGAACAAATGTTCGTTGACGATCAGTTCATTCTCTGAGTTTAGAAGTGGTTTTTTGGGGTCCTTTTCGAATAATTTGTATTTTAATAATTTAAGGCAGCAATTTTTCCACAGGCCTACACAAGCGGTAAACATGTAAATACGACACTGGTCTCCCGATAAGCCGTGGATACGACCGGACGGGACCACCTGCGGATGTAGGATCGCATATTATAGCGGGCGGACGACACGCGATGTGGACACGGTCGTGACGAAACAATACACAAGTCGCCCGCCTCCGCCCGCCAATGGGAACGGGCGAGGGGAGCACACGCATCGCGTTCGGTTAATCAATCAACCGCCGGGCGCACGGCGACACGATTTATCATTCGGCCGGACGAAACGCAAACGATCCGTCGGCGGCCGGAACGGACACGACGTGCGCGCGGCACACGGTGCCACACAGCACGACCAACAGACATAGATACCGTAGATATCCCAAACCTATAGATATATTATTGTTATGATATTGCATCACGACACGTGTCACGATTTCGGTTTTTTTTTTTATTTTTCCTCTCCGGTACCCGACGACGACCGGAGAACGCGGCGCATTGATTTTCCACCTTGGGCGCCCCGCACAAATAAGTCACTAGTGCGTCGGGCCGACGACGGAGACGTGGGCGACGACGACGCCGGGTGTTAAGGTACGCGGCCCAACACGCTCGTCGCGACGTAAGTTCAACGACACCGCAGCCGCAGCCGACGACGATGCAACGGGCGCCGGCAACACGCGAGAAAATAATAATAATAATAATAAAAGGAAATGCGAACACACTTCGTACCGCGGGTCGGCCATTGTTGTAGGTGGGTCGTGGCCAATGTTAAGGATATGGGGTTAAGTGGTTTACCGATAATATTTTATAATATTTAAAACGACACGATTACAATATCATTACTATGGTTCGGGACTTGTTGCAATAAAAATGATCGGAATATGCATGCAAATAACCAGGTAATTTTTTTATTTAATTTAAAAAACGCATTTAACATATTATAACTATCATAAACTATAATACAAATCTCAAAAATGAATAGTTACATAATACAAACCGTCGATAACAGGGTTGATGAAGATCGATAAAGATAAAGAGACACGTACCTACGGCCTAAATACCCAAAGTAATTTATTAAAAAGAATATGTTTATATGTTTTTCAAAAACGATTTTTCCGACAATTGAAAGTATACAAAAATTAAAAATGCGAAATGTACACATATATGGTAAAAATTGCTAAAATACACACTTCACCTAAAATATGACCAAAATATGTAAATTCAAACTTTGTATTTAATTTCAGAATTTCATAAAATAAATGTATAAATTATCTAGAATAATCTACAGACACTACGAAAAAATATACAAATGCAGTAAGTCTCTTTAAGAACCTTAATCATTACAATCAAAACGCGACACGAATGAGCTCGGTAAACCTGTAACTACTATACTAGTCGTGTATTTTCACTTGTAGCCAAGGTTACCAAAATATCAACCAAAAATAAAATCAACGTTGTAAATTTTGTTAAACATTTAGCAAAATTATTGGTTATCTAGAAAAATGTAACAAATAAACTATTACCGGGTGAAAAATCCGCATCTTTTATAGTATGAACAGTTATGTACAATTTGTTGCATTATTTTTAATAATTGAATAAGATTTTTTCCAGGGAAAAATCGTATTTAAGTGTTACGTTACGTAAATAAATTTGACGTAACAGAACTGAACCAGACAAGCGACTAATAGATATCTAATATACCTAATATTTCCGAAAATAGGTAAAGCAATATAATTATGGAAATATTGTGAACATGATCGTTAAACGATTCTATACAATAACTGAGTAAAAACAAAATCAATTTTACTCAATATTTACAAAGATAGTAAATGTATCATGATATAATGAAAAAATACTAAAAAATGAAAAAAATAATTCTATCAAATAAATAATATAATCACTGTAGAAGTTAAGAAGGCCAAACAATTTTAAAAATAATATTTGTGTAGATATTGTGTTTGCATACGTAAGCCGTCCTCGAAGTTCAACAAACTATAAAACTGCCAGAATAATAACAGATAACACTTAGACTGTTCGAAGAAAAGGATACTTTAGAAATCATTAAAAAAGTAAGACTAGTTAATGAGCTAGACACACACAGAGAAGCCTAATTATTATGAGCAGTGTGTTGGAAAATCCAATGAGGAAAATGCTGAAAAATCTAGAAAAAAATGAGGTGGAAACATGTATTAAAAAAAGTCTGAGATAAGAAGAAATAAACCTTTCTAAATAATTGGAAATGTGAAAAGTGCGAGATGACTGCAATGAACTTGTGAGAAATTTAGATATTCTGGAAAAGTAAGATGGATAATTCAAATGAATAAGATTTAATGAAACAAATAAAATGTATGAGATTTTACTAAAATTTTATACAATATGTTTCTCTAAATCTCATACTCCGAGATTTGTCTAATACATATGATTTTTTGTTATAATATATACAATTATAATGCATATTAAAATCATATATGCCCAATAAATGTTAATTATTGTACACTATTATTTTTATTATAATAAATTAGCCCCAATATTATTTATTATTAGGGCTCATATTTTAGTTAATTTGTATTATTACAAAATACTTTAAAGAAGATCATATTACTTTTTTAAAAAAAGAGGAGATTGATTGTGAAATCCGTTTCATGATGAAAACTGCCAGGATAATAAATACACAAATTAGCTATGAAGGAACTCTAATAAAAGTAATAATATATATTCTTAATGAAATTTCAACAATAATAATCAGCAATGTTTTTTTTACTAAAAATTATTAGGAATAATTAATTAAACAATAAGCGTATGAGACAAATTCTTTAAACATAATAGTTTTTATACAAATTCCCTAAGAAAATTATTTTTCGATAAATAGGTATTATAACTAATTAGCGTAAAAAAATAATTATTAAAATAAATAAACATACGCAATCGATATTTATGAAGAACAAAATATGTGATCCTTGTGTAATAATATAAGTTATAACAATAAACTTCCAAATAAATGGGATATACTTCACACTATATGTAGGAAGGAAGTTGGAAAAGTATAGGTTGCAGGGTAATTTCATAAATTTACTGAAAGCAACAATAAATTGTTACTAATCATTGTTGTTTAAAAAACAATACTTAGCAGAGCTCAAACAACTGGTATTATCATATTAATTGTGTAGTTATGTTTGTAACAAATACCTATTACGAAGAAATTCATAAAATTAAAACGGCATATCATCATTTGATGTAAAATTTTTAACTTTTTAGAAAAGTTTTTGAAACTCCTAACAGTTTTAAATATAGTACAAGCGGGTTAAAAACACATATTTTTTGGTGTAAGTAATAAAATATGTACCATTTTTACTAACAAAAAGTAATAAAAACAAATCTTAATATAAATAATTGCCTTTTCACTCAAATTTAATGTAAACATATTAAACTAAAATACAAGTAATTAAATTACCCTATTTACAGATAAACAAAATATGGACCGAGCAACAGACTTAGCTATCTAATTTTTAATTTAATATATTTTATTATTTTAATTTTTTTTCAATAAATTATATATTTATAATACATATTATGTATAAAAGTACCTAATAAATAGTATAATATTGACCTTAAATATTCATTATCAAAGTCATGGATATTGATAATTTTATAAAAATGAATCATAATTTGTTTATTAATTACTTTATTTAAAAATGTAACAGTAGGTAATAAATTATTATAATACAGATATGTTTTAATTACAAATATGTAAATTGTATAATATTTACCTGAAGAATCAATTATACAGTAGTGTCATAATATTATATTGGGTCAGTCATAAACTCATAACACACAATATTAAATAAACGTAAAAAAAAAACTCAAAAAAGAAAAAGAATTCATTCAGTTTATCATTGAATACTAAATAGCTACCTACTAAGAATTGAACATTAAAGATCACCTTGCTATTTGATAAACATATTTACATTGATAAACATACTCTTAATATTTAAATAATTGTGGTTTATCATAAAAATTCACATTTCCCCACTATATATAAAGTAAAAATTTAAAAAAATTATCATTACCTATAAATATATCTTGTTTTATGTTAAGTTATAAGTAACTATAAAAAAAAATATTTGTGATGATAATATTATTATATTAACACAAACACCCAATTAACCAACTAGTAATAGGCCAGTATAATAAAATCATTATTTTTTTTGTTTGTTTTTTTTTTTTAAAAATTACAAACTTATTATTTTTCAATTATTATCTAGATATAAAATATTATAAGGTTGTAAAACAAAATATCTTACCTTAATTTTTCTTATAGGATTGAGTTCTTTGTTTTGATACAATTTTGTATCTGTGGTATTTGTTGAAATTTGCTCAGCTCCATTCTACAAAGCAAATACATACATATTAAATTAAATACAGTTATAAATATATAAAAACAAATTTAAAAAAAATATAATAAAAAATAAAATAGGCTAACTAAAATAAATAGGTTTTTAGTTTGGTATACAATCTGATATTTTAAATTACATAAAAAAAGTTAGGTATAAATAAAATATTCTTACGTGTTTTTATTGTACATTGAGTTTTAAATTAAATGTAAAAATTATTTAAGTTAATATATTTTTTTGGACTTTATTATTATTATAAATGTCATTCTGGGAAATTTGTAATAGGTAACTATAAAAATGACTAGGTAGTCTATTTCAAAGGCAATAGGAAACCAAATATCCAAAAAGAAAACTAAAAACTAAACATAGTTGATGATTTATAGGAATCCAATGGTTAATACAATAATATTATTTCATTTATTTTATATTATTATTATTTCACATAATTCACTCCATAATAAGTACTAACTGCTGGTGAATTTTACAAAAATGTTTATTATTATGTATCTTAGCTACAGGTTATTTTTCAAGGAAAAAAAATTTATATATAAAAATACATAAAATAAATGTGATTCTTGGTTATAAAATATTATGTATATCTTATGAAATGTTTAGCATACAATGACTATTTAATACAATAATACAATAATAAACATTAATATGTTAATTTTATTATGTTTTATGATATTTGAATGAACACAAAGGAAATAAGACCGTAGGTACTTCTTCAAAATTCAGTGCTATTAACTTAGTAAAAAAAAAATTAATTTATTCTAGTAAATTTCTAAATATTTTCTAAATAATTAATTTTTGTTTAACCACCAATTTTCATAATATAACAACTACTCAATTTAAAAATGAAGAATATTAATTTAAGACAAAAATATGCATTTACAACATTTTTATTTTATTAATGAATATTAATAATATTTAATATAACTTTAATATTATTATTATTATTATTATATTTTAAACTTTTTATATTTTGAATTACTTTATATAATTATACTTTAATATCATCTAGGATAGATAATATTATGTTATATTATTTTAACTTATGGTTATGAAGACCAGATAATATTAGGTAATATATACCTACCTACCTTATTATTATTATTATTATTTTTTTTGTAAATTTAATTGTTAATTAACAAATAATAAAAATAAAAGGTAGCTTTATTTTATACAGAAACCAACAGGTGCTTCAATTTTTAAACACCTGCTCGTAATTTATAATAAATAGTAATAATATGTAGGCATCAATTATGCTGAAATAATAACCATTTTAACATTTTAAACTGCTAGGTTATAAAATTAAAAATAATGATTCCAGAATATATTACAATACTTTGAACTATTTTTTACCTAAATAATGAGTGCCTACCTAGATGTCAATACTTTTTTCATATACCTAAATTGAGAATAAATCCATAACAATCATATAATTGATGAGAGTAAATACTATATTAGTAACAAAATAGATTTATTAAATAAAACACCTATTACATAGATGTACAAATGTTTATATGAAAATAATAATTACCTATCTATTTTAAAAATGAAGTAACAATAAAATATGTTAGTCCTTATAATACTTAAGATTAGATACCTAGCTATCCAGGTGGCAGACAATAAAATAATCATTTACTTACGAATATTGTCAGCATCGATTGTTGTCGGTCAATTCATGTCAATTATTAGTCTCGGTTCGTTTCTCTACTAATACCTACAATATAATAACAAAAATAATTAACCTATTATTTTTAAATGTTTATATCTAAATACTGTAAATAACAAGTGATTTGACATTCTAAAATTCTAGATATTTGAATACCAATTGTGTACTAGCATAGGTAGGCAAGTAATATGTTTAGGGCTGATCAATTATTATGTTAGTTACTTACTTTATTACTGTGTATTCAATTAAAATAGAGAATTGCATTTGTAAATAACATTTAATATTGTAAGTTGTTATTCTAAGGTATTATTCTGTCAAAATAAAAAAATTATATTATTATTAAGAATCACTGATGGAGCATAGAATCTACGTAACGACGAACCGTTCAAGCACCAAGTCTAGCAGTCTGCGTCTGCGTCTACGTGTGATAATAATATTAGGTATACAAGTTTTTGTAAATACGGTAGAAAAGTAGAGATTGCCTGGACGGTGTGACCAACGTGATCGGTCAATATTACCGTGAAAACGGTAATTACCATGAAGACGCCAGCAATTATAAACGACAAAACGTATAAATTACAAAACGTATTACCATTGATAACGCATGGTCTAGAGTCATAGATAATAAAGATTAAAATGTATTATCTATGTATAGCGTATTTTATTAATCTATTCATTGGTAAATAGAAACTTATGACTTGTGAGTTGTGACGGAAGCATAACGTCCAATAAAATTGTCATATGGACCGAAAAATTCCAGAATGTTAATTTAGGTTTCTAATACGTATACAATATTGTATTGACGTCATTGTACCACCATTCGAGTTACATCGTTTTATTATTTTTATTATTAGCCATTAGGTAATTTATAACCTACCTACAACCAAGTATTCAAATGAAAGTAATTTATTAATTTCTTCGCAATTTAATATTAATCTAGATACTTTACAAAAAGAAAAAATGTATATTTATATTATATAAAGAAATATTATTTCGGTTTGGCCACTGTTGTTTTAATTGAGAAGTTGGGAAGATAGAAGGAAAATTTAATGTGTGCAAAGACTAATCATTGCTAAAGATTGTTATTCTAAAAACGTATTTAAATTTGTAGTGGATCAAAGGATCTAGTGATTTTACTATAATGCGTGTTATACTGTTATTTGTTGTGTCTGTGAACAACTTTTTATCAGACATCTGGATCCAATTACAAAAACAACAAGACTTGAAATTGGGGATCACTGATAAATATTAATAATTGCTCGTTATTCACAGGATAATATTAGCTATTTCAGTATTTGTTAATATTGACAAAATTGCATTGGCATTGAGCAGAAAAAAATATTATATTTAGAACGTAAGTAAAATAGGTAGGTATAGATAGGTACCTACCTATCTCTGTTTATGTTTATCATACAACACTGAACACACATATTTTATTTATATCTACAAAAAAATAGAGTGAGCAACAAAAACAAAATGTATTAAAAAATGTTCAAATATATTTTTAAATATTCGATTATTTATTCTGAATATATTTTTTTAAATTATTGGAATACATATTAAGAATATAAAATAAAAGTATTCTCTACAAGATTGCCTACCTACTAAATAAAATTATTACTAATGTAATTAATTACGATAATCAGTGATCAATCCTCAATCAGATAATCAACATCTCGGAACGTATAAATTGATTTAAACATTTTTTTTTTTTTAAATTTAAAAAAAATTTTAGATTAATCTTCAAATTTGCATATCATTTTAGGTACCTGAATACAGTACCCAACTAATTTTCAGACATCGTAGAACACATAAATGTATTTGAGTTTGAAATATTATAGCATACAAATTTACTAATATTAAAAATGTCAACTCCAAAATATATGTTAACTATAAAACGTCATCTATTTGTGGAATTTGTAATATAGGAGGATGTTATTCAAAAATAGAAAAATATTAGTTTTACCCCCGGAAATATGAATAACAAAAATAACGGTCGTAATGTAACATTTTAGTGCTATTCGTTTTATAAGTTCTTAGAAAAAAAAAAAATGTCGAAAGAGTAAATAATTTCCGATACAATGAGTATCTTATCGAAGGTTGAATATACTGTACATATTTTTTAAAAAGATATTTTCCGAACATTTGCAGAACCTCGTGGCTCGTCTATAATAAATAAGCAACTGGCAGGTGCACATTTTGGATTTTGTAATGTTTAAAGTGTGTTGTAGTGTACACAAAAATAGCCACTGCTTACTTATTCGCATATAAATGGAAAATATAGATTCTAGTATCGAGTAGTACCAGGGGAACTAGAAATGGGAATTTTTCAGATGGTCTGGTACCCTGATATGTGTACATAATATTTTTAATTTTATTTACTCGTATTATTTACAAACTTAGTGAAAAGTTATTCCGAGACATATAATATAATTCTCATATTTCAGTATTTAACTTATAATTAATGTTTATATATAATATTACATTTTCGCTTAAATTATTACATTAAAACGCATATTAATGAAAAAACTTTTCTAAATTTTCGAAATTCTCGCTCTTATATGTTCAGTGTTCACCCATGTCTCAAGTAAAAACGTATTTAGCTCTTCTCAGTTTGAAGTTCTGGTTTTGTTACTGATTAAAATATGAAAGCGAGAAAAATATATTTGTTTGGTAGATACAAACGTATTTTATTAGTTTGATTAATTGATTTTGATTTTTTTCCGTGCCTTTTTATGATTATTTAAACGATTAGTTTACCATCAGCTGATTGTCTATTTATTTATTTTGAATCATACAATTTAATATTAATCCCTTTTTCAAGATAAAATTAAATAGATCTATCTACAACCTACCGTGCCAGAGAGTCTCTCTAGTTTTTACGATATTTTTGGAGGTAAATATTTACTCATGGAAGATAAAAGAATTAACAATATTATTGATTAAATTTGGTAACAGAACTCATTCCCATTGAGCTTTAAGATAAGACGTTATCTTATAGCTCAATGCTCATACCACGGTCATTGGTGTTTAAAACCTTCGATCATATGGTTAATATGGCCGAAATGTGGAACCTTCGATCATATGGTTTATATGGGCGAAGTTTAAAGACTTGCGCATTATCATGATCTGCATACTGCGTTCTACAGTATTTCTGTGTGCGTTCTACAGTATTTCTGTGTGCGTTTACTGTTTAAATAATACTTGTAACTTTTAGAAACAATAATATTCTGGATTAATACAATCTTTGGTTGAAATCAAAATTGTATTCAAAATGGAAAACTGTGTATCGTAAGTGTACTTTTTATTATTTACACCCATACTGATCATACTCCAGCAAAATTAAAGGGAATTTATAGAGCTGACCTGATTTTTTGTGAATTATTGATATTTATAACTATTACTGGAAGAGGTATACCTAATTTGTCTATGCAATTATTACCCGAGACGTAGACAACATATAACGCGTTTAACGTTCGTATAAATAATATCCTACATGAATTCTAAAAGTATATTTTTTGTAAAACGAAAAAGATTATTAAATGTTATCCGGAATTTTTGGTATAAGTAATACCATCTGTTATAAGTTATAACCAAAGCTATGTATCTCCGTAATTAGTATTATAAACATTTGTTTTTAATTTTGTTGTCGTTCGATATTAAATTTAAAAATTCTTGAATAGATAAAATATGATAATTAAATTTTAAAACAATTACTACTTTTCCAACTTAATATAATATTTACCTTATTAATTATTATTATAGTTTAAGAAAATCTAAAAATTTACGTACAATTTGATAACTTATAATAACAAGTAGATACGTTTTCTTCCGATTTATGAAGATTGTAACGATTCTAAGCAAACACCATTTATCACCAAAAGCGAATTACCAATAGGTACTATCCCACAATATCACAACTGTATATTATATGCCTCCAAAACGGTTTAGTTTACCAAAGATTTTTTAGTCCATTCCCTAGTATCCTGACCGAAGAGTGAAGTTTCTCTAGTCTAATGTCAGAAGATAGTGGCCTGTAATTAGTTATTTGTATCATGAATTGTGTGGTTTTTATAAGTTAAATTAATTTATTAAAAGTTGATTATTGGTTTTGTACTACCGCATTTTGTTTTTTTCTTTTGTACAAAAATATAATTCATATTTCTGAGAGTTTTGAAGATTTGCTAGGTAACAATGTGTTGAATAAAACATAGTGGACATGAACCATTGAACTGTATATGAAAATATATTATAACATACAAACATTTTGGTTGCCTACATCTTCACAATAGTATTATAATCGTAGGTTTGTTTTTGAGTTTTATTTTAATACTGTATTAATTTTTGTGCACAAACATGTTGGTATAGATATGAAAACAAAAATTAGCTATTGCGGATAGTCAATAAATTAGTACCTTTTTAATGATGTTTTATTCGTTATAAGACAAATATTATATTTATTTATAATTTAATTTCTTTATAACATAATTTTCAGTAAAATGGAACTGCGTAGACATTTGACAACAGAAACAGATGCTGAAAAACTTGCGAAACGCCTTGATGAAGATTTGGATAAATTTATAGACAGTTTAAAGCAGACACCTTATAAAGATGGTTGGAATGAAGCAACTTGGCGAGAGGTTAGTTTTAAAGTATACATTTGTTTAATTGTATATTTAAAATATTGGGTTTAATTTGGGTCATAGGAAATGGAACAGCATCCATTTTTTACAAGCAAGCCTCTTAATCCAGAAGATGTACCGTCACCTTTAATTGAGGGCTTACAAAAACTTCGCTTTGATCCTGAAGATAATACTACTGAAGAATTGGCCAATAAACACAAGATTGATGGGAATTTCAATTTTAAGTGCGGTAAATATCGAATGGCCATTTTATGTTACGAAGAAGGCCTAAAATTAGATTTTTCAAATGATCATCTACGTGCTCAAATGTTTAACAATTTAGCTGCTTCACATTTTTATTTGAAGAATTATCGGTATGTACTTGGTAAATTACTATAATATACAGTATACATTTATTTTGAATTTGTATTATGTAATATTTCATTAATCTAGGTCCAGTTTGATAGCAGCTGAAGAAGCAATTAAATATAAGCCAGACTATCCAAAAACAATATTGAGAGCAATACAGTGTTGCATGCAATTGAAAGAATTTGATAGATGTTGTGAATTGTGTGATATATATAACATTCAAATACCCGGAGATAAAATAATATCAAGAATAAAAAGAGAAACAATAAAATCTAAAGTAAATTTCATTTATGATTATGATCTTTATTATTATAAAAAAGTAAAACAATGTATATTATTTTTTACCTTTTTAGAAAATGATGGAAATGGAAAAACGAAGATTGGCCAAGTTCGAAAAAGAAAAAGAAATAGAGCGGAAACAATTATTGGATGAGCTTAATAAAAGACATTTATGTATAATCGGCCTAGACAGTAATCATTAATTTTATTATTTAGTGTTTTCAATGTACACTGATTTTAATTATATGCATATTTTTATGATTAGACGAGCCTATCAAAGATTTAGCGATATTGGATCCTAAAATGCTCGGTTCTATAAAACCTGTACATTTGCTCGCAGGACGTCTTGTTTGGCCTGTTGCTATTTTATATCCAGAGTATAATGTTTCTGATTTCATCTTGGAATTCGATGAAGATTCTATGTGAGTATAATTCAATTTTTTTTTCATAAACATTTATATATATTTTTAAATGATGTAGGAGACAAAATATTTAGTATAAACTAAAAAAAATAGTGCTATATATTGTAATTTTATTGTAAAATTGCCAAGAATGATTATATTAAAACTTGTTCAAGAGCATAAAAATATTTTGTAAATAGCATTTTGTTATAATTTTATTTGTTAAAATATTCAATTAAAAATTTGCTTTGTAAAAACATAATAATATTATAATTGATTCTGATATACATTTAAAATGTGCTACATAAAATAATTGTAACAGTTAGAAACTAGTTATCTGCTGGTGATTGTAGAGTACATTCATATTTGATGAATAGTTTCTTAGTTATATCGGCTTTAATATAGAGAAAACAATTAATATTCCGTAGGAGATAAAGAATTACCGCACTGATTGTGATTTCTTACCGTGTAACGTGTTATTGTATTAAAAATTAATTGTTTTCAGACCAATTTTCTAGAAATTTAAAAAAATGTTATTACTAAGAAACTATTGAACAAATATTTAAGTATGGTAAACTAAAATGTTTAAATAATACATTTTATAAATTGGCTATTTTGAACATTTTACAAAGTTGAAAAATAAAAATGTCGAAGTTTTTCTGAAAAACATTAAAAAAAAAAAATTGTTTTTAATGAACATTAACAGAGTTATTAGCATTCAGATAACACTGTAGGACACCCCATATAATCAGTGGTATTATTCTAAAGTCAAATTTGTAGAATGAATTGTACAATAGTTTAATAATTTATTTAGTTCTGATAATTATTGTTATTTTTTTTTTAGATTTTATAATCATTTATTAGAAATGTTTTCTGAAAAGCCAGTTTGGGATGTTGAAGGTAAATACAGTGTCAATACAGTAAATGTTTATTTCGAACTTTTTAATGAACATAAAAAACCTACCAACGTTGTAAAAGTAGATATACGCAAATGCACTTTATCAACAGCATTGTCATTTTTCAGGTAAAAAAAAATAAATAAATAGATTTATTTTTAACATGGTGTAACATAAATTATTATATTGCAAGGCAGAGGTTTTCAAACTTTTTTTCTTCACCACCTATATGTATATAGATCTGTCACGGACCACTTATAACTTAATTGAACTAATCATAATGCCTTTATGTTTTTTCAAAATTATAAGAGTATATGACAGTAAAATACTGTAATACTAATAATATAAAAAATATAAAATACAAAATATACTATTTGATCCATTAAAAACATTTATACGAATATGTATTAATTTATTTTTTGTACTACTACTACCATGTTGCTTTGTGTGTACAACCATGTTGTCCACCACATATTACAGTTTGAGAACCGCTGTAATAAGGAATAGCTCTTGTGTTTTTTTAACATCTTATAATACATTTTAAACTTTAATATTAGTTTATTATTACAATTTTGTGTAGATGCCCTATTGAAAACGGTATACCAACATTTACAATTTACTTTGCTGGAGGAGAACATGAGAAGAAGTTTTTAGAAGAAGTGACATGTTATTAAGTTTAAATAATAGTCATATTATTCCTTTAATATTTCTTCTTCTCATTATCTATAATTCTAAGAGAACTCTATACACAATTAATGTTAAAGTACTTAATAGAATTTTGTTTTAGTACTAAACCCTTTCTCTCATCAAGTACATTGAAATTATGTGCTGCCAGGCCTTCAAGCTTTAGGCATTCACTACCATTTCTAGCATGCTCATTCCTTTGAATACTATTGAACATGGAAGTGTTCTTTGGGACCCTCCTCTCCCCACCGTGTATTCAAATGCTATGATTGAGAGGGTTTAGTGAGGCTTCTTTCATGTGAAAGAACCTTTCAACCTTTCCATGATTATTCACCACTCGTGTTTCGTTGATCTCCTTAGTCTTGTTAATATTTGATGGGTGTATAATCTCAAGATAATTATATACAGTATTCATACAGATAAACAGATTTTCCTAATCTCTTATCACTAATTAACTTCAAAGTCTCTCTCAATTTCACTTGTTCATTTGTCCCTTTTTATATTCCATAATTTCCAGTCTCTTTTCTTGATAACTCCCAAATAATTAATATTATGCTCCCTGTCAGCCAGGATCCATCATTTATGATCAGCATTCAACTTCTAGTTGTCTCTCTTCTTTCACTGCCAGTATATATTCTAATTAAAATTAGTCTGGTTTAGTTTATTGAACTAGATTGTTCTGAGTATATAAATATAACAGACCTCAAAATATCTAGTTTAGAAAACCAAAAAAAAAAACAAAAAAAAAAAAAATTAAAAATATTGTACCTTATTATATTAAGTAGGTATATCTAATTATTATTGCTACTTTAATATGTTTTTTACCTTGTTTGTTCGTGGGCTACCACTCATCTGTGTGTTATAATAAAATACTTGATATCGCATAGTAAAGTTTGTGATTTATACTTAATTTGGCACTACCTCTTTTAGTGCCACACTAAATGATTAGAGTCTGTAGGGTGTAGTTTAGTGATCATCACTTTCATCTTGCACACCTAACATCTAATTATTATTCAAAATCATCTGTATTAAGGAAAATTTCTTTGTGTATTTTTTTTAAGGAACATTGCTCTTGTAAAATATTTTTTTTTTCAAAATTCAAATCAGATACATTAAACATTAAAACATGTTATAATAATGTGATGTTTTACTCATTAGATTATTTCTGTAACGGAGAAATTAGAACAACTTAAAAAGTGTTTCATACATATCTAATATGTTTAGTTTTAAATTGAATATGACTCAATTGTCAATTTTATTTTTACAGTTCATAAGCTTAGCCTTTCTTTTCTTTTTACACAGTTTAACAAGTTTAATAATAGAAGTTTTTTGGATAAGCATTTAAATGGTTATATTAATTATCCTGAGGAATAATGTGAGTAATTATTTCCTTCGATTTTTAGTTGCTTACCTATTATTATATAATATATTAAAATATTGTATACCTTGATTAACACTAAATTTACTTTTCTCTACTTGTAAATTTTGTATACTTAAATATTGTTTTAAAAATATAAATTTAAGATTTGAAGTAATTGTAATTTATATTATGTTATATTTGTATGAGCCAGTTTAAGTCAATTGCTCTTGAGTAGCTTAATAGAATATAAAATTAATGTGTTAATAGTATTTAACTAATATATTCTTCTTTAGTGTGTTTAGCTCAACAAATGACATTCTAAATAGTCTTATATGTCTTATAACTGCTTAGCAGTTTCCTAGAATAAGTAATAAGTTTAAGAATTTTTTATATTGTTGTCGTATGTTTTATTAATTTGTGTATTAAATCTTTTATTCTTTGTGTGTGACATATTATAGAATAATTAATCAATAACCAAATAATCACATCATTTAAATTTTGTATTACATATAATTTAATTAGCTAACATTTGAACTACTCGAAAATTATTTTTGTATTATGTTTGTATTAATAACATAATCACATGTGTATTAAAAAAAAATTGAAAAAACACCATTGGTTTTAACACTAAATTTACTTTTCTCTACTTGTAAGTTTTGTCTACTTAAATATTGTTTTAAAAATATAAATTTAAGATATGTAGTAATTGTAGTTTATATTATGTTATATTTGTGTGAGCCAGTTTATGTCAATTGCTCTTGAGTTGCTTGATAGAATATAAAATTAATGTGTTAATAGTATTTAACTAATATATTCTTCTTTAGTGTGTTTAGCCCAACAAATGGCATTCTAAATAGTCTTATATATCTTATAACTGCTTAGAAGTTTCCTAGATTAAGTAATGAGTTTAAGAATTTTTTATATTGTTGTCGTATGTTTTATTAATTTGTGTATTAAATCTTTTATTCTTTGTGTATGACATATTATAGAATAATTAATCAATAAACAAATAATCACATCATTTAAATTTTGTGTTACATATAATTTAATTAACTAATATTTGAACTACTCGAAAATTAATTTTGTATTATGTTTGTATCAATAACATAATCACGTGTGCATTAAAAAAAAAAAAAAAAAATTAAAAAAAAACCACTGGTTTTTAATATAG